ATATTTTAAATTTAAAAAAAAAATCTTGTATCTGTTTGGTACAGGGTCTTACACAGCTCAGACCTGCAGTGATTCTCCTGTCTTAGCCTCCCCAGACTTTGATCCTCAGCACCACAAAAAATGATAGATAGATAGATAGATAGATAGATAGATAGACAGACAGACAGATAGACAGAGATAGAGATAAGGAGACATTTCAGCTGGGATTACAGGGGTGCACCACTACACCTGGTTTCAATGGCCATCTTGGTGCCCGGGGGTGGCATAGCATGTTCATTCATCTATATTTATCTGTGTAAGTGCAGTACAGGTTTATATACAAAGAAAACACATAAGCACCTGCCTGGAAAGTGCAAGGTTCTGAGTTCAATCCTGGTACTGAAAAAAAAAAAAAAAAAAAAAAGATAGCTCTACCTACCCTGATATCTCCACATAGTTGTTTGTGCCCAATGCACTTATGTTTCACACTGTAGCCCCCAAGCCTGCCCCTTCCCTAGGTTCCTCCTTATCTGTTGCTAGTAATGTTTTCCCAATACCACAAAGTGATCCAACATCTAAAAATATTCTTAATTCTTTTCTATTTTTATTGTCACCGCCTTTTTTCATCGGATTTCCTGGAACTATTATGAAGTTCTCTAGCTGGATCTCTGTCTCTTTAGCATTTCTTTTCTTCATTTTCATTTATCTGCTGCAACAGTCTTCTACAGTACTTGGCACCCTCACTAGCTCCATACCTTTGGCTCTACCTCATTCCTTTGAGTTTCTGCTTCAACTAACACTTCTGAGTTCATATTGCACTTTTCATGCCTCTACACCTTTGCCCATGATGTTGCCTCCGCTTGCAATGTTCTTCCACCTCATTCACCGGCCAAACTCCTTCCCTTTTTTCAAGGCCAGCCCAGATCACTTCCTTTAGGAGGCTAGTGCTCTCTGTGTCACTACTAGTTCTGCATGCAGCACACATCCAATGCACTGTGAAACCCAGGCTCCTCTCTCTACATGGATTTTTTTTTTTCTACATGGATTTTTTTTTTTCTACATGGATTTGACTCTCCATTAGACTTGTCACTGAGGTCTTTCTAGAACTGATTAGTGTCTGGGGCAGTTACTGACTGTGTGTAGATGAAATATGTGATACTAGACCACATCAATCATGAGCTAGTAGTCCCACTATTTAATGTAAGGTTTTAGAATTTTCCCCTCAAAAAATTTACATAAGTTCTACATATGTCACTTCATTATTAAACCTCTAATCAAACTGACTCAAGGGACTTAAGGTTTCCATTCCATAGAAACAAAACTGTGCAAACAATATGATTTGTGCTGAACATCTGCCTTTCTGGCATCTGGCTCTCTCACCCTTGCCTTGGAAGCTCAGAACAGGATCCTGTCAGGAGCAGCATCTCCATCTCTATTTGCAGTGTCAGCAGAGACACCCTTCTTTTGGAATCATGTTGGCTTCTCTGGCAGGACTCCTATACTGTAGTAGGGCTGGAACTGGAACTGACACAACATACCTGAAAGGTTGTTCAGCTCGCTCCTGCTGTTCTTCACCTCATTTAGTAACTGATCCCTCTCCTGTTTGATGTCCCTCACGGCCCGGAGCCGCTCAGACCCTGCGTTCACCAGTTTCACTTTTTCCAATTCTAGGTCACTCACTCTGGCCTCAAGCTCCCGAATCTTGGCATCTTTCTTATCTTTTAAAATCTAAACATAAGGCAGCGATAGAGGAAGAAGTAAAAAGTATGGACATGTACAAATTCCAATTGATACCACTAGTACTCTTATGGTACTAATGTATTTAGTATTTTTCATTATTTCTCAGGACATCAAATTTCATTATAAGACACTGATAACAACTGGGAGGGAAAGGAGTATTCTGCTTTTTTTCCTATTTATTTATTTATTTACTTACTTACTTACGTACTTAGAGTCAGGGTCTCCCAATACAGTATAGGCTGACCTTGAACTTGTTTATGTAGTCCAAGGTGGCCTCAAACTCACAGTATTCCTCCAGATTCCAAGTGTTGAGATTGTTGGCATGTGCCACCACATCCGGCTTCATCTTGCTTTTAAATTTAGATGTCAATTCACTGTATCATTTGTCACAGCCTTTCATTATTTTTATTCTATATTCATTCATTCATTTATTCAAAAACTTGTACTGAGCCCCTACTTTATATTTACACTGAGCATCTGGTCTTCTAGGAGGTTGGATCCTGGCTTACATATAATACAGTACTTGCTATTTTACCTGTTATAATGGTAGCATGCATGTAGAAGCCAGTGCTGCATTTGAAATGTAAACATGTGGCAATTTAGCTATTTAAAAAGGATGAGTGGGGCACTATAGGCTGGTCTCACTGCCCACCTGTGATGGGCCTGCATAGTGCATGCCCCAAATAGGGCTGTCTGACCTCTGCCAAGCTGTTTCCAGTGTCACAGGAAACCCAGATGGCCCCACGGGGTGAGTGGGGAAGGCTTTCCCTGGGGTAGCCTGAGGCACCACCACACATCCTGGGTACATAACTGTTCCTGTTCTACCTCTTGGACCAGCTGATAGGCATTCAGTCCTTCCTTGTCTAAGGGAAGAGCCAGCTTTGATGAACTGCAGTCACTACAGGCTCATGTGCTGCTCTACAGTCCCTTACCTTACGGGGACAAAGAAAATCATACTTTCCAGGATTTTGGTTCCCACCAGACTAGAGAAAATGGTTGGGACATTAAAACCCAGGTATTTAACTTAATGCAATATTATTAAAAATGAAAATGAGTATTTAAACTTGAAAAATATGAACTATAGAAAAGATGCACTGCCATATTCTCCCTCAAAATATTCTGCCTCTCTTCAAATACACTTATCCCGTCACTCCTGCCACTTTCTGAGGCACGCTGGAAGTCTTCTTTTTTTTTTTTAAACATTTATTTATTATTATTATTATTTGTGTGTGTGTGTGTGTGTGGCCAGCTCAGCCCACCAGGGGGCGGGGCCGGCTGGCATGTGGTGATGGGGATCCAACCGCAGTCCCTGTGCTTTGCCAAGCTTGTTCCAAGTAGGTGCTCTAGACCACTGAGCCATCTCACCAGCCCTGGAAATCTTCTTTTATGTGTTTTTAGTTGTGTTGTTGTGGCTGCCTCCATGTCCTGAGTCAACTCAAAACTTGCCTTTAATGGTCTTTTTGACTTTGGAGAAGAGCAGAACTCATATAGTGCCAGATACAATGAATCAGGTAGATGAGGACAGATCATAATGTTTTCATGAGCCTGCCTTTCCACTGGATGCAACTTGCCAACAGTGTTCATCATATTTTTTTTTAATTTTATTTATTTATGTGTGTGTGTGTGTGTGTGTGTGTGTGTGTGTGTGGCCAGCTCAGCCCACCAGGGGGCAGGGCTGGCTGGCATGTGGTGCTGGGGGATTGAACCGTGGTCCCTTTGCTTTTGTTAAGCTTGTTCTAAGTAGGTGCTTTAGACCACTGAGCCATCTCACCAGCCCCATCATATTTTTTTTTATTAGAGCTTGTAAACAAAACTTGTGAAAGAGAACTTCCAGAACTGCTTCAGAAAATGGCAAGAACAATGGGATATGTGTTCAAAATGAGGTGGAGTATTTTAATGGGGATTAATGGTAATGTGTCTTTTAACATAATATTTATTTTATCTTGGTCTTAACCATCCAGCAGAAAAGTATAAAATGAAGGTATAAAAAGTAAAGCCATATTAATATGCTGAGCTGTAAAAGGCTCAAGTCAACAACTTCTGACATTGCCAATTCTATGGATAACCCACTTCTATTATGGACTACTGGACTATATTGGATTATTTTGCTGAATTCATGCACCTACAATATTTAAATGGCAATGGAATACCCATATCTGACAAAACTAAATAAAAAAGGGGATATAAATGAAGGACCATTTTGTATCTGTATATACAAAGTAGTTAGGATAGATATACAGCCACTTTCTCATAATTCAATGAGAAGAAAGATTTGTAGTAATAGTGTTTGGACAGGATATCATGTCTGCATCTTGTACTATGAATAATTACTATGAAGACAACAACATGCAATGTAATAATTATTGAAACTGTGCTACTAATTGGTTTTGAAACTGTGTCATTGCTATTTGTTTCTCAATAAAATTAATAAAAAATAAATTTAAACACATCTCATAGCTTTTGAGAAGTCTATAAGTACTGCCCTGGATGCACTCCCAAGGCAGTGCTGCTCTCAGGCAAGTTACTGCACATTGCTGCGCTCAGTTTCCTTGTCTGCAAAGTGGGGTAACAAGAGTGCCTCTCTGAAGGTTTTTGTAATGACTGAACTGATTTAATCTTAGAGTGTAAGACTCAGGAGGATTCTAGCATTTGTTGCCTTAAGAACATTAGCAACACATCTTCCTTGGTAAGAAGGCAGAATGAATATTCTTTCTCCCCTGATAGGTTCTGCCCTGCATACAAACCTACTCTAAAGTCTATGGGGCTGGTGAGATGGCTCAGTGGTCTAAAGCACCTACTTAGAACAAGCTAAGCTAAGTAAAAGCACAGAGACCTTGGTTCAATCCCCAGCACCACATGCCTGCCAGCCCCACCCCCTGGTGGGCTGAACTGGCCACACACACACTAAATAAATAAATAAATAAATAAAGTTATAAATAAATAAATAAATGAAAAATAAAGTCTATAGGGCTGGCCATTGACAAGCTTTTATATATACTTTTCATGGAGAATTTGGCTATTTATTTTTTTTTAATTTTTTTTTATTTTTATTTATTTGAGAGAGAGAGAGAGAGAGAGAGAGAGAGAGAGAGAGAGAGAGTGGGGGGTGTGTGTGTGTGTGTGTGTGTGTGTGGCCAGCTCAGCCCACCAGGGGGCGGGGCTGGCTGGCATGTGGTGCTGGGGATTGAACCGTGGTCCCTGTGCTTTGCCAAGCTTATTCCAAGTAGGTGCTTTAGACCACTGAGCCATCTCTCCAGCCCAGAATTTGGCTATTTAAAAACTATCAATAAAACCTTAAACAGTAGAATTTTGGGCCTCTCCATTTAGAATCTGATAAAAGCATGGATCCTTTCTCAGAAAACCACACAGAGGGCCAGCCAGATAGCTCAGCAGATTAAAACACCGCTTAGGCAGATGCAAGGATTGGGGGCCTGATCCCTGGTGTGCAGTGCAGGCCCCGCAGGCAGTTGAGACTGGGTGTGGTGGCATGCGCCTGTAATCCTAGAGTTTGGGGGGCTGAAAAACAGGAGGCTCACTATAAGTCCGATCTGTGTAGTGAGACCCTGTAGACCTTATACTAAGTACATTTTTAAAAACCCACACAGGGGCCAGGGAGATGGCTCAGTAGGATAAGCGCTTGCCTGGCAAGTGCAAGGGCCTGAGTTCAATCCCTGGTTCCAAAAAAAAAAAACCCACACATATTTACACAGGTACAAACACTTCCCATTTCAGACAAACCAAATCTCCTTTTCACCAAAATAAGGTCACATTTGTTTATGAGAGAAAAGAAATTTCAGATGCTAACCCAACACAACTATACAGACCTTAAACTCCTGCAGCTCCAGCCTCCTGTCATTTATCTCTTTCTCCAGCTGGGCCTTTTCTACCTGCATGGCCCCGGCTGTGCGTCCATGCTGGCCCACCAGCTGTGTCATGTTTTCAATCTGCTGGCGCAGAATCTCAATCACTTTGTCCTTTTCTGCCATCTGCAGCCGCAAGGCCTCACACTCGGTCTGGGCATGACGCAGGTGCTCCCCTTCGGTCTTCAGGTGTTGCAGCTCCTGCAACTTCAGGTCCACTCGGGAGCGGAGCTTGGTGATCTCTGCATTGGTGGCCTCGATGGCATGCTCTTTCTCTTGCAGGGAAGCCGTCAGGTCTGACACTGTCCTCTCTGAGCTCTCCAGGGTCATCTTCTTGGCCGTCAGCTCCTCCACCACTTTGCGCAGCATCTCCTTGGTGGACTCAAGCTGCGCTGTTAGGGAGGACACTTTCTCCAGACTCTCGTTCTTCCCCTGGATTGCTGCCATCTGATGGGAGATGAGAGAGACAGCCTCCTGGATCTGGGAGGACAGTACAGGCCAGGGCCTTGGGCAAGTTAACCGCGAGCTGTGAAAACCCAGATTGGATGAAGTGTGGGTACACTAACATGAATCACTTTGCTATCACATCTCAGACTGCCAGCTGGTGTAGACCCCTGTGTACTTCACACCACAGTGAGAGTTTAGTGAAATAATGATGCTTTTCCACCATAATTTTCAGGGTAGGAAACCTGGGAAGCACCCTCTGTGGTCATTTCTATTATTACTTTAGATTACAAAAAAGTAGTAGTGGTCAAAGAGAGAGGAATAAGATCTGCTCTTACTTCTTTTTCCCCCTCTGTTTCCTTTTTTAATCCTGCTTGTGAGGGAAAAGGAGTAAGGGCTTTTACCCACATTTACATCTTCTAGTGTTGGTTTGGGAAGGGTAAGATTCTAGCTTACACTTACTTGTTCAGTGTCTTTCATCCTGCCCAAGTTAGGCCACAGAATAGGAAAATACCTTGGCCTGCATCTAAACTAAGAGTGAATCTTTTACTTGGATCCCATTAGTCTGTATGCCTCTGTGGCTGTCACCAGCATTAGAACTGTGTTCTTACAGCACTGCAGGAATGCAAGGGAAGAAAGCTACCCACATTTTGCTGCTTTTGCACCAATGGTATATACTCAGCAGCCTGTTACTCAGGGTAGAGTTGGGATAAGGGGCTACCACTTTAGGAAGAAATCCCCAACTGAAATATATCTGTTGTAAACCTCCAACTGTTGTGATCCTTGGACTTCCCAACAGTTTTCTGGGGTTTTTGCGCTAGAAATAAGGAATTTGTAAGTTATCCATTTCTATGAGAAAATGAAAAAGTATCTGGATTAGATTTTTAGTTTTTCAATAATATACAAGTTGATACAATATCTAAAGTGTTTCATTTAGTAAGCAGTCAAAAATAGGGAAATAGAAATAAACTTTTAGCACCTGCTTCGGCAGAGCACAGCAGAGCGCAGCAGCAGGGTTTGATCCCCTGTGTGACATGCCAGCCCTGTCTCTGGTGTACGCTGAGACAATGGTGGAGACTGGGCGTGGAGGCACATGCCTATAATCCCAGGGCTAGGGAGGCTGAAAACAGTAGAATCACTACGAGTCTGATCTATGTAGTGAGACCCTGTCCACCCTGTCCTAAATTCAAAGAAAAAAAAAAAAAAAAAAGAAATCAACTTTTTAGAAATTGTTCACAGGCCCACAGCTCTACTGTAGAGCTATCTGACAATAAAACCCAAACACAAGAAAGTTTGAGGTGTAGTAGGATGCCTGAAGCCTCAGCTACCAGGGAGACCAAGGTGGAAAGAGCCTCTGTGCTCATTAGTTTGAGATCAGCATGGACTAAGACCCCACTTCAAAATTAATAAATAAATAAAGTTCCAACCAGTGGACATCCAAGTGTGTTACCTGCCGCTCCATCTGGCCCTGGCACTCGCTCTTCATGGCCTTGAGCAGGGCCTCCAAGCGCTGCACTTCCATGTTCCGGTCGTCCAGCTCGCGCCGCAGGTGGTCAATGGTGATGCTATTGCCTGTGTCGCGGTCCCACAGTCGCTTGTTCTGCTCCTTCTCCAGATTCAGCTCTTTCTCCCTCTTGTGTAGATCTGCCTAGAACAAGAAAGGCATGATGAGGTGTGATGAGTTTCTAGAAAAATAAGTTCATATTTTTCTTACTTGAAAATTTTAGCATTTCAAGTCAATTTCATGGGACTAGACCTTGAATAATACACAATGAAAAGGAAAATGCCTTGGATTTAAGAAGTTATCCTGCTTTTTAAGTCTTGAATTTCTGAACAAAGACATTGTCTTGCTTGCCAAGTGCATTCCTATAATAAACAAATGTTTAAAAGCTTAAAGGAATGACAATAGTAATTTGTTATCCTGCTTCAGAAATGGTAGCTGGGCGTGGTGGCACACATCTATAATACCAGCACTCAGGAGGCTGAGGCAAGAGAATTGCCTCAAGGTCAGTTTGGGCTACGTGGTGAGTTCAAGGTTAGCCTGGCTTACATTGTGAGCCCCATCTCAAAACACACACAAAAAAAACAAATAAAAAAGGTTGCTTGAAGATCCCCTGTGACTGCCTGAAGATCCCCTTTCCTTATACCATAATAATCGTACTTAAGAAAAAGAAGTACACAGTACTATATTTAATATGTGGCACATGAACTGTGTCTATAATATTCTGTTGTATATATACATGAATGCTTTATAAAATTTGTAATTTTATGAAGAAAACTAGTTTGTAAAATGTTCTGAAGAAAAACTTCACAAATCTCATTCATATTGTAGGTTATAACCTCACCAATAGTTTTTGAAGCTGGTCGTCCAAATTTCCAGATTCCTCACTGAACTGGTCCTTCTATGAGTGCTTCAGTGAGCTCTGAGTTGGCCAAGACTAACTGCTTCTCCAGTTCTTCTATCTAAAAGAAAAGCACAAGTTGAAAAGAGTCTATGTCTGTGGATCACAGAAAACAAAGTCTTTGGGAAATAGTATTATGTGGAAGGCAATAACTAAAAAATATTTTCATATATTTTGCAAAATATTCTAAACTTAGCAGTATTTAGCCAGGGAAATCAGAAAAAAAAAAAAAATTAGTAGCTGGATTCGAGCACTGTCTGTAGCACATCTCTCTCTAATGTTTATGCTAGTTAACATTTATCTTCAAGATGTATTCTGTAGAGGCCGGCCAGATAGCTCAGCGGATTATAGCTCAGCGCATTAAAGCACCTGCTTAGGCAGTCACAGGGGTCAGAGGTTTGATCCCCAGCCTGCCATGCCAGCCCTGACCCTGGGGTGCACGGAGACTGTAA